CAGCCGGTAGCATCAGGACCGAGCTTCTTCGATGGGCCAGTCACTGTGCCTCCCCTCCGGTCCCCTCCACCTATGAACATCAGCAGTCTCTGCTCAATGCCACTCGGGGGGACCAACGGCTCATCTCTAGGTGGCGGGCGCAAAGCTTGCCACAGAGATTTTCTTAGGGCTAAAAAAAAGGCAGAAAAACAAACCAAAAATATAGGGTTATAGATCTTTCAAAGATGTACAACAACTTTTTTTTTAACTTCATGTATTAAAAACAAAAAAAAAAACATAAAAACAAATGAAGACATGCACAACACACATAAACACACACACACATGCGCGCGCACACACACACACACACACACACACACACACACACACACACACACACACCAACAGTCGTCCACACATACAAACACACACATACAAACACACACATACAAACACACACATACAAACACACACACACACACACAAACACATGCGCACACCCACATATTCATGCACATACACGCGCTCACACACAGACACACATACACACATACGCGCACACACAGCACACCCGCACACACAACTGGGGGCGGTGAGGGTTGGGGGACGTGTGGGTGGATTTTGGTGGTGGAGGGGGGGGCGCGGGGGGACGGTTTGGGGGAGGGGTGAATGCATTTTATTTATTTATTTTAATCATGTGGGGACTTCGGGCGACGTGTCCGTGTGTGGGGGCTGTAAGGGCTGTAAGGGGTGCTTGGGGGGGGGGGGGGTAGAGGTAATAGGGGGGTAGGAGGAATGCACCACCTCTCCCACCCAGCTCCACATCTCCACCCAAGCACTACCTTCGCAGATGAAAAGAGTGAATACATCCTGCTTCTACCACAACAAGCACACGCGTTTCATTCATTACAAAATATAAAACGCTCATCCTCCCCTCGTCAACCCGCATAGATTAACACCAATAGGCAGGCAGCAATGACGCATAATAACACACAACAAGCATAAGCATAAACAAACAAGCCACATCGTGACAGAGGAGCAATCGCTAGAGAAAGTGCTGTGACAAAACGTGCGAGTCCATATGACGGGAAGGCCTACACACTTCTTCCTGATGAGGCATTCTGTGCTCGCTCTTCCGATTGTTCCTGCCCAGAAGAAGCAAATGACGAAGAAGAAAGCACACTAATGTCCACATCTATAACCTCTCTCTCTCTCTCTCTCTCTCTCTCTCTCTCTCTCTCTCTGTGTGTCAATTGTTTATATCCACAAGAAAGCAAATGACAAAGAAGAAAGCACACCAATGTCCACATCAATAACCTCTCTCTCTCTCTCTCTCTCTCTCTCTCTCTCTCTCTCATAACACATGTGGACACACAGCCCTGCTCCACCCCAATGCACAACTACACTGCTCCTGCCAAACACATAAACACACACACACACACACACACACGCACACACACACACACACACACACACACAGCTATGGAGGTTTACAGCTTCATAGAAGCCAAATCCAGAAGAAAGAACGAAAAAAGACAAACCTGAATGCAGCAGCTGCATGCAATGGACGCATCATTAAAATGAAGTGGCAACGCCACTTCACGAGAGGGTTCCTTTGCAGCACAATCTACAAATCACTGAAACTAGAAACAGAGGGAGGAGGCGGGAGGGGAAGGAAGAAGAGAAGTATCTGCAAGGTTATTCTGGCAAGTAAGCCAAAGCTGCAGTTATATCCATCCATTTACTATGCGACCAACCTCAAGCACCCACCTTCACCGATCCTTGCACTAGAAAGCGACGACAACACATAAGAGGCTTTATCAGAAAGCGAAACAAAAACTGAAAATAGACTGAAATTCTTTTGCATTTATGCTTCGCTCGCCGTACGTCCACATTCTACCGATTTTTTTTTCCAAACGTTCTGCCTACTACTAATGGCATATCATTACGACGACTTGGGGGCGAGGGCGGAACGAATGTGTGCCAACATTGTGTCCAGGTACGTCTGGTAAACAACATCTCGAGTTGAGTAAACATCTGGTGGTGAGGGGGTGAAATGGATTAGTTGGGGGGGGGGGGGGGGGGGGGGGGAGAGCGGGAATGGCTGAGTGGGGTTAGGATCCTATGTGAACTTGATTAGGAAAAAGGTTCGAAAAGCAGAGACAGAGTTTGTACGATCGGCGCAAGCGACATCGGAAAGAATCATTGGATACGACAAACCAAATCACCAGGCAACGATGACCTGGGGATGGCCATTTGGGGAGCTGCTGGGGGTGAATGGCCGGGG